TTTTTCAGTATAAATATTTCACTCCAATCAATGCCAGTGACTCTAGTTGTATTTCTTTTTTTTTGCCATTAACAATTAGGCTACAGCCTGGGTAACATTATTTTTATCACTTGGTGGACAGCTGGAGGGGTATGGAAAACAATGCATCACACCCTATATTCACGCAATGGTCTATCATGTGCCTCAGTTTATGAAGTTGCACAAGGGAATACGAAACTTTTCAGGGCAAGGTGCTGTAAATGAATTTGTTTTATATACAGTGTAGATACAGTACATGTATTATAGACATTACCAGACATTACTCAAACACTTGCCACAAATGTAAAATTTTTACTACATGATGTAGATTGATTGATTGGTGTTTATACAAACTTTAGGTGTTGAAAAACTGAATGACAATTGCAGGAGAATTCATTTAGAAAAATCCAACAAATGGGATGCTGCGAAGGACGTTTTGCTTGCTGAAGAAAGGCTAAAAAATTTAAGCCACCTGCAGAGAACACCAAGGCCATATAAAAAAAAGGCAGATGAATACTGGTCTACGGGAATTAAGGAAAGTCGGAGCAAGCGGCCAAGATTACGTGACCAAGTACAGCCTAGCGAAGCAGAGGTGGACGGAGAAGATATGTCCACACTTACTGCTAACGAACTTCGAAAGCGCCTAAAAGATATGGGCATCAAAACTGCAGCACGAAATATCGACCGACTTCTAGATATGTACCGTATAGCTATGCAGTGATCATTATAAAATCCTGTTCATGTTATTTAGAACAAATACATGTACTTGAAATATGTATGTGTACATTTATGTTTTGGAACTGTTTAAAATTACATTGTTCACGCTAATTTAATCAGTGTTTTCAAACACAACTTTGGACAAACCTGGCAAGAAAAGTACAGTTATTGTATATGAATAATACATGGTTATGTGTATTATGTACAAGCCTAGTTTTCCAGAACTGGAAACAAATATGTTAAATATAATTTGAACGTTCTGTATTAAAAATGCAACCTATTGTCAGTTTTATTTATTTAAAAAATAATGTGTATATGCTATTAACACTATACACTATCCATGTTGCAAAATCGTTTTACAATCGATAATACAATTTTTTCTATAGGATATTTTGGTGCCTTCTTTAGTTCTCCATTTACAATTGTGAACCTAGAGGGACTCCAAGAAACAATCGGCTTTGCCTTGATAGGGAAATCAACGCATATGCCTTCACCATGCTGGTTGAGAACATAATACCAATCATGTGGCAAGCCTTTGAAACGGTCAAAATGTTCTTTTTCATACAACATGTGGCCCTTATGGTCAGATTTTTTGCCCTTGTTTAATGTGATGTACCTCCAGACATCTAATGGCATGTTCACATACACTGGGCTAACAGATTTTGACTTGAGACTTGTCTGGACAACATTCATAAAATCTCGACATGCTTGTTCAAATTTTGGCCCATCGGGTTTGAGTGGTTGTTCATAGCTCCTGTCAATGAAGAGGTCTTATTATTGCTTGCAGTTTTGTCATAATGTTATATGTCGCTGCCGCTTATATGGTATTTACTTGATAAAATTATATTTGCAATAAAGTATTTGGTTATATGGTTATTAAACCCAGGACTGTCCGTACCTCAAAAGAGCAATGCTCAAATTTTCAGATGGCTCCCAGGAACAGCTGTGGTATGGCCATCCTTGCCATTTTATAAGATATTCATCGCCCTCAAAAAAGAAAACTTCGCAATGCATAACCTCGAATTGGGAATAAATTTGACTAAAAGCAGTTTTGATACTTACATACGGCTTTTTTCTTCGCGTGATAACTCTTTCGGCAGCATAAAATTTCGAATCTCGCCTTTTCGGCTTACTATTGTACAATACAACAGATGATAAAGAGTTCATCTGCACGTAGTCGACATCGATTTTGCATTTTCTACGGCTTTCTCTCTTACTGCTGGCGGCCATCTTGACCATTCACTTTAAATAACGATTACTCGAAGTTTTCCGCGCGTCAATTACCGCTGCCGGTGGCGACCTGCGGCGCATGTCTCAAATTTCTGGCGATGATAAATTATGTTAAAGTCTGTTTCTCTCTTTCTGGTCTCCTGGTTTTTACTTCTGGGTAATCCATGATCGCTAGACATGAAACGAATTCGTCTGAATTAAATTCGTCGTTTGAAACGAAACGATTTTAGTGTCGATCAATTGACGAATTTAATAACGAATTAAATTCGTCTGAATTAAATTCGACGTATGAAACAGGCGTTACGGAGGAAATTGAATTTGAATATTACATTTTCAATGTTTTTCTTATTGCAGTGAATTGTATTTTATTTAATAACTGTGCAAGTTTTCAACATTTTTCGTTCAAACTTGGTCAGATAGCAGAAGTAGTCTAATCACTAATGCTTTCATGGAAACCACTAAAAACGTTTTAGGCAAAATTAACACTCAAACGTGTTCTGTAACCTTAAACTTAAAATACTGACAAAACTTTGGCACACTCGTTGCCCAGCTTCGCGTTAAGAAAGCAGAAAAAAAAAATAAAAGGGACTTGAACTGACGCCCAATCAATAGCCCTTCAATATTCCTCTTCAATTTCCGCCATCTTGGCTGAACTTTTAATGCTCGAGTTCTCGCTCCAGATACTGTATATATGGAGCTCAATGAAACTGAATAATTATGATTTTTGTGCGTGTTTGATTTTTTGCGGAAAGTCAAACTTTTCCCTGCCTTTTTGGTGTGCTTGAAAACGCCAATGAGAACAATTCAACTTTTATATTTTAGGACATTAAAGGAATGAGCAATATCCATAACGTCAAGGCAGATGTACGTTCGATTCCTGGGAGACACTTTTGTTAAAAACGACCAAGATAAAAGGATTGAACGTCATTAGAAGAATGAAGAATGACCTTAGAACGTCTTTAGAAGAATGACCACTCGAATAAATTATTTCTACTTGATTGCTCACAATTCAAAAGAAGCAAGCGAAATAATTCGCATTTCTCGGAGAAAAGTGCTTGTGGAATCAAGCCATTAAGAATTTTTTAGCGAAATCATTATTAAGATTCTTGCATATTAAATTTGGCTGCTTGTGTTGGCGTTATCTGTATCTAAATAACTAAATTGGTCAGTACATATCAGATCATGGTTTGATATTCATACAACCAATCATGGCGATCAAGATTGTTCATATTTATCGTTATTATAACGTTTATTTCGTGCTCTCTGTATACCATTTTATACTTCATATATCTCCTTAGCTCGAAACGTCGAAATTCTCCTTATATTTTTCAGGTAGTTGCATTCCTACCAACGAAAGCTTGTTGATACTTTAGTACACATCTTTATATTCATGAAATGTTATATTATATATAACTGCAAAAGGAAAATATTTGCAAAAGGAAACCTCTTTTGTGTGTAGCAATTGTTTAGGGAATTTAATCATTATAAAAATTCTTGCATAAATTTAATTATCTTTTGTGAATTTAACAATTGTTCAGTAATCTGTCTATAAATTTGATACCGAAATCTTGAACATTTGGGACTATTAAGGATTAAATGTGTTGATTTAACATCATTATAACGTTGGTAAGTATTTCTTTTTATGATTTAGTTCAAGTGTAAGTTGTTTATTGAGCAAGAGACGTTCGCTGCTTTCAGAATTTGCTTACATTGCAATGATAATTCCAACACAGAGGTTAAGACGCAAATACTCTTAATATATTTTGATCACTATTTTATTAGCTTGTGATTGTAATTACTTTACTGATTATACATCTATAATTTCTGTATACATGCAATTGTACTACATATATCTTCGTGTATACAGTTAATGAATATAGTTATTGGATGAGATGTATATGATATCGAGCGGAACGCAAGGCAGATAGCACATAACAAAACTTTACAATTCCGAATTACATCACAATTGTTTTATCCGCAATCCTTCACAAAAATTATTGAGAATTGCATATTTATCTGTAAAATTAGAAAATTCTTACCCTCACGAGCTCGTCCTTCCTCCCACTTCCTCCCCCTTCAAAACAATGTTGACTGTTATTGCAAGCATTGTGCTCATAGATATAGGAGATCTAGATTGCTAACGCATACCTAGCGCAGGCGGGGCCTACATGATAAATCCAAGATGGCGGTACAACAGGGCAAAAAGACTATAGATTCTATTACGAAAATCAGGATTTTTGCATTTTTTGCCGTCGCATTGTTTTGAAACTTATTCGGTCAAATTTTATGGTAAAGAGAAACTTACCGCGAAGATTTTGAATTGAATTGGATGAAAAATCGCAAAATTATCCAGCGATAAAGCTCGTGTGAAATGGTCAGTTGGAGCGTTTTATTGCCAGAAATACTGTGCTATGTTAACATCTAGCCTTGTGAATGGTGTTTTATACTTGCATCTCTTTAGCATTGTACTCGGTTCTCATAATTATGAAAAATGAACTGTTATGTACCCCCCACTCCCCCGCCTCCTTGCTTGTTAGAGAAGTAAACTGATGAGAGCACTGGATGAGGGTCTATCATGTATGGTCTGTTATAATTTGCTTTTTATGCAAATAGTGAGCAAAAATTAAAGCAAAACTGTACAAGTTACATATATAGTACTATATCAGTACTATACACGAACTCTTTTATCGCTGGATAATTTTGCGAGTTTTCATCCAATTCAATCATATATATGCTCAAAATCTTCGCGGTAAGTTTCTCTTTACCATAAAATTTGACCGAATGAGTTTCAAAACAATGCGACGGCAAAAATTGCAAAAATCCTGATTTTCGTAATACAATTTATAGTCTTTTTGCCCTGTTCTACCGCCATCTTGGATTTATCATGTAGGCCCCACCTGTGCTAGAAGAATTGAGGCCTTCGCTTTAAACGTCGAGTTTCTGCTTATTTTTTAAGGTAGTAATATAACCACTCAGCACAGCATTTTCTAGCCTAGAGGTGAAATTCGAAAACCTATCCATTATTGCACATGTTTATGGTTTAGCACTTTGTTCAGTTTGTTACAACTTGCCAAGCAAATGAATGCAACATATATGTGTTATATGCGTTAGCAATCTAGATCTCCTATATCTATTTTTCTAAAGCCCATGTTTTTCAATTGGGACGCTTTAGCACCAGTAACAATTTTCAAACTGAAGTATTGCGAAGAAATGAAGTATTTGTGTTGACATATGTTGATAGAATCATTTTGCCTAGCAAATATTGCTCAACTTCTGCGAATTCGAAATAGCAGTTCTTTGAGAAACCAATCAGATCTCTCCATTTAGTCGTCTTACGCAGAGCCTAATCTAATCCGAGTAAGAATAGCACTGGGGACGAGAATGAGGCTGGTACACGCTAGTAGGATACGCAATAGTGTGACAGGGCCTTTAAGCTTGGATCGAACGAGTACGAGTCACGCGAACTTGGTTATATCTGTTCTTAATGCCTTACCAACATTATCCTGCATTTTATTTAAGTTAAAACACAGTTGGAACATTGATCAAACTATTATTCTGCTTATTATTAGCATGACATTAATGATTTTCCCAAAACAAACAAAATGGCGGAAAAGGTATTTTAAACACAAGCGTGAAATGAAATTGCCGTGAAGGAACTAGATGAAAATACGAACAAAAGTACCAAATTTTGCTTGAACAAAAGAACTAAATGAAAATACACACTAAAGCACCAAATTTTGGTTTAAAGTGTGGCAGAACTTGGCTTTGGCGAGA